GTAATACATGTAATGAAAGTATTAACAATAAATAAAGTCATAGGCAAGATCCCACCTGAATACCAAAAAAAAAAAAAAAATTTTTTTGCAATTAAGCAAAATCTACTTTTACTCTAATATAATTTTTGTATTTTTAATTATTATTATTAAAAATTTTATATAGTTATATTAAACAATTTTAATTGGCTAATAATACTATATTATATAGTACCTAATAACTTCTCCTAGTATTCTGAGTAGGTAAATATTTTACCAATCGATTAGTTGCTAACTATAGTTGCAACTAATTGATTGTTTACATTACGTGGCATCATCAGATGATTAGCCAATCAAACCAAAGAAATTAATTCAGATCTGCCTGACTAGACAGAATTTTTTAGAATTGTACTAGTGAATGATTAATCGATTAGTTGTTTTAAATCGACTAGTTGGAAAGTTGACAACTAGTTGATTTTTCAACTAACAATTTGGAACACTACCACTCCCTCCTAAAAAATCAGGTGATAAATATCTATACCCTTATCAGAATATATTTGTTTAAGATCCCTTAAAAAAAACACTATATGATCCTACAATCTAATAAAAGTAATAAGCCAAAGAGGCTAGCCTTGACTATAAAATAATAATTATAATAATAATTTGTTAATTAAAACAAAAAATAACATATTTAAAAACTATTTATTTACTATTATCTAATTATTTTTTGTCTAAATTTAATGAATAAATATAAAGATAAGGTAAAATTAAAAAAAATAACAAATTATAGTTTGTAAATAAATTTACTTTTATAATTGCTAGATAAAACTATTTTTGTAAATAGCAAAAGATAAAACCCAAACTTGACAAAACCTTGATGAAAGCAAAACCTGAAACCCCTAATAAAAAACAATTTCCAATGAAAAATAAAACCTAAGACTCTAAAAAGACTGATATTTTGATAAGCAAACATGTTTTTTAAACATGGCATGCGGTTTATACATGAGGCAACATAAACTATAATAGTTTTGACCCAAACAAAATAATTTTGGCAACATGTATGAAGCGAAGCTCTTGTTTATATTTGAGCTTTTGAATTTATAATTGACTTGCGCACATCTGCTATGTTATACCTGATCTCCAAATTTTGATTGGTCAGAGAATTTTTTTGGAGTTAATATGCTATACGACATACTACATCACTAGCGGCACACTACCTTACTAATGACACCTACCTCACGGCAATATAACCTCAGGGTCATAGGACGACTTTCATATGATTGGTTGCTTAAGTCAATTTAATTTACATTATTTATACAGTTTAAAGTACTTTTCAAAAAATAAAACTACAAAGAATAAATGAAAAAAAAGTACATAGGAGATATTATTAGTGTTGTAGGACTCCACTATTGAAAATGATCAAAACCCCTTTTTGTTTTATAGAAGTTAGCATAGTAATAATCTTGTTCGATCTATTTTTAATAAGTTATTATAATACTAACTTCGCTAAAACAAAAGGGATTTGGTCATTTTCAATAGTGGAGTCCTACAACACTAATAATACCCCCTATGTACTTTTTTCATTGATTCTTTGTAGTTATATTTTTTTTGAAAAAGTACTTTAAACTGTATAAATAATGTAAAATTAAATTGACTTAAACGTCCTATGCAGGGTAGTACGATCTCTACGTCATAGCCGTAGTGCCGTATGTAGTCACTTTCCTGAGAAATGTCTGCATCATTAGTAAAACGATGATAGCGAATTTGATCGACCAATCGCATAGTCTATTAAATTCAAACTTCAAACAAATAAAACTAATATAATTATCACGCTAAACCCATCTCTTCATCTTAAAAATCCATCTTTTTATAATTATCAAATTTGTTTTCCATTTATGATATATATCAAATGGTATCTATATATAGAGATATTGATGACTCATATCATATCGAATTTGCAGTAGAAAAGCCTAAATGCTATATATAATATATAGAGCATTTAGGCCTTTTCTATTGCAAAGACCTTATATATGCCATAAATTTAGGGTAGGTTAAAAGCCGCAATCATGTTTCAATTGTATCTCAAAATAACGCCCCAGAGCATTATCTCGTGATGATACAATATGTTAATTTTATTAATATATATGTTTTGTATACGGAACAGAAGGGATAGTAAAAAGGTGCCAACGCTTATTTGATGATTAGAATTTAATTTTATATTTTTGATGTAGCTTCATAAGTTAAACAAAAGTCAGAATATTTCTAGAAGGACAAATTAAAAAAGTCAAAATGCGTAACGCAATTTTTATTTACGTTAACGTTATCATTGCGATTACAGGATTAAGAAGCTGATCTGGACGTGCTCATGTGATAAACTGGTACCACGTACGTACTAATCTGATATCGATATCAGATATGCAATATCGATATAATATCGATACGCAAAATTCCACTTACATACTCAAAATTCCACTTACATACTCAAATAACATAAATGAGCTTTTTATTATATATATTACACATTTAATTGGTTACATCTAAAATTTTTAAATTCTTCAAGACCATATGGGGTCTGGTCAACAAAAACACGGCTTATGGCTTTTTTTGCAAAATTGAGTTGATAATACTATAGTATAAAGCGGCTATTCTTTTATATAATTTAACATTTAAAGCATCGATTTATATAATAAAATTTTTGCCGATGCCTACTTTTTTAAATGTCTTATACGATAAACCGTGATCTAAAATTAGATTTTGTAAATCCAGTTGCTGATCCTTGCTGCGGGATCATAGAAAAGGATTCACATGATTGGTCAAATTATGTCGATTCAACAGGTTTTACTAATAATAGATTTTCATTGTTATTGTTACACTAAATTTTTAAACGTGATTTTCTCAAAATGGAAAAAAACCTATAAGCCGTGTTTTTGTTGACAGGACCCCATATAAAGTTTAAAGTGACCGGAAAGCTCGGTCGGGAATTTATAACGATCAAGAATTCAAATTTGCTTGTTACTATTGATCTATCGTATCACATTGAGTGACTTTGAGTAGCACAACTAACTAAATAAAGTTTTTATAATTAATAATGAAACGACTGGTTATCTAATTTTTGAGTTACTTAGCCTAGATTGGTCAGCTATCATTTGTGTAATTATATTTAGGTTATGCATGCCTTCTTTCAATATGTTCTTATAACCGTAGCGTTTGAATCTACAAGCAATTTCTCTATAATCTTTGTTCCGTATATGCATCCCGACTGTTAATAATACTATATACATCGCTAAGTAAATAAAGATTATTTTTTTAAAAACTAAATATGGCTTCAACGACAGGTGGTTTATCACGGCGACGCAATGTAAATTCAGGACTTAACTCGACAAATTCATCGTATGAGAACACCTCAACAATAGATCGCACAATTTCCATTGAAAATGGTGTAAGGATTGCAGTGGATCCTAATGACATGCCTGATGAAGAAGATAAAAACCAACCAAAATTAACACTCATGGAGGAGGTTCTACTGTTGGGTTTAAAAGACAAACAGGTAATTCTTACAAATTTATCTGATCCTATCTGATTACTGTTTATCTTTCTCTTAATCCATGGGTTCTCGCAACGCGTATCTCTGTCAACAAACACAATTCCAATGTGACTTTTGGTATTCAAGAAAGAATGCTCACATTTAATTTTGTCGCAAAAAAATAAAATAAACCAAAATAAAAAATTGTATTAGATAACTTGTCTCGGTGTTCGGTTAATGAATTAATTCTAGGTTTTTCTTATAAAGAGAGACGTAGATGACTTTCAAAGGATTAACAAGCATTTATTTAATGGAAAATCATTCCTTCATTAATTGAGTTTTTTTATAACTTGAACCCGTTCAATCAGGGATACCTCTCGTTTTGGAACGACAACATTTCTTACACTCTTAGGGGTTGTATTCTTATGGAGCTTGCTTTTCGTGGACGGATAGCCATGGTCAAGGATTACAATCGTCGTAAAGTTCCTCTTTCAGAAAGATCTATCGAAGTGATTGACGATAAGCAGACTAATGAAGTTCTTCTAGATGAGGCATTAAAAATGATGAAGCAAAGTGAAACAATGAGTGTAGGAAGTTGGATCGATTTAATGAGTGGTGAGTCATTCTCTGTATTTTAATATAGGTTATTTCTTTAATTCGAAGTCATGTAGTGGTAGTAAATTTTATTCATTTTTTTTATATTTGAAATTTTGAGAATTTTGAAAAGAATTATATTCATTTTGCATAATTAGGACTAAAATTGTCATATTATTTCATTTGTCTTAATTAGGTGAAACTTGGAATGTATTGAAAATTGGATACCAACTAAAACAAGTACGAGAACGTCTAGCGAAAGGTCTGGTAGACAAAGGCATTCTAAGAACTGAAAAACGAAATTTTTTGCTTTTCGATATGGCAACACATCCCGTTAGTGACTCTTCTGCAAAAGATGAAATAGTGAAACGAGTCATTAAAACTTTGACTCATGTCAATTCTTCCGCAACATCATTAGACCCAGATATACCTTTCGGTCAATTACGCACTGTCGCAATGGTATGTGCTGCATATGCTGCAAACGTTTTGGAGAATGCATTGGTGCAATTGTCTCATGAGATGAGAGAGAGAGCATATACAAAGGTTGATGAATTATTAAGTGAATATTCATCTTGGCCTTTTTCAAAAAAGGCAAAGGTAGACATTCCAGAAGGAAAAGATTTACAAATAGAGGTGGTAGCAGCGGTCTTGAATGTTTTCACAAAGATGGATAGTATCTTGTAAAATATTTAATAACAAGGCCATTTTGTATTTTTTTTTTTCCCGTTTACGTTTTTTTATAGACAATAGTTAATTTGTTTTTTATTCGTTGCGATGTATCGACTTACATATATGTGGTTTAATATATGTAGTGACCAATTTGTGGGTTTCATTGTTAAGTTATAATGTTAATATTTAGAATGAATTTTAAAAATCTTTTTACTACGTAATTATTTATATATATAGCAAATAATATGTGATTTAAATAATTTAAAATGTTGATATATGGTTAATCTAAAATATAAGACCTTTACGTTCTGCATATAAACAAAAATTAATTGACACTCGATTTTTTGTTACATATTTCACTAATAAACTTATCAAATCTTTTCCATTTTTTTTTTTTTTGCTGACAGCCTTTAGTAAACTATTGATTGGTCCGGAGCGTAGCAAAGAACGTAAACCCTAGCTTTAGTCGCGGCGATCAAAAATTTAGGCCGGAATTACTCAAATTTTTACAAATGAAATCACAGCCACCTATTCTTGGTCTAATTTTACCATAGAATAGGCTATTTCCCAAAAATTCCTATTTTTGGAATAAAAAATCAGAAGGTTAAATTCCGACCAAAATTCGTAATGCAGTTCATGCCGTGAAATCGGTAGTTCGTGCAAAAGACTATATATGCGCAGGTCAAAAACTGCATTTTTGATATCACGTAAATTTTTCTGAGTCGCTTTTAATTATACAGTATGAATTTACTTCGCGAGCTCGGTGTAACTGATTTTTTGATGCTATCGCTATGATTCATTGCTGTTCCTAATCGGGTTGGGTCAATTCGGATTGATCCGAATTCGATTCGGCTTGATATGCGTACGTACGTACGTGTTCATATTTTTGTATATCATGACTGTTATAGCTAAAAAAAAAAAAAAAAAAAAAAAAAAAAAACTCGCTACCAGCGTTAGTGTTTGTTTAAGTGTATCAATATTGGACAGCATAAGTTATCCACCACGCCATATTTGGTAAGGACAACATAACGTCAAAACTAGAGGCCTGCATTGGGTCCCGTAGGCCTGCCCAACCCGGCCCTGCCCGTTTTGCGGGCCGGGCCGGGCTTAGCAATTAAATTTTGTAATTGCGGGCCGAGCCTAAAATTTTATAATTACGGGCTGGGCCAGACTAAATTTAATATAGTCAAATCTATTTATAATTATATTTTTTTTTTTATAATTCGGCAGTCCTGCCGTTTTTTATTTAAGATTAAACTAAACTAAAAAATTTACATTTTCTAATAATAGCTATATTAATCTATTCAAAAAGCAACTTACTTATGCTTATGTCAGATATAACCTGCCTTAGTGGACTTCAAGCCTCTCTTTGGTCCTAACTCACTAGGGGCTTGAATCCTTTGATCATAAGCTAATGCTATACACATACAGTCTTCCTCCTCTATAATCACCTCCTATATAATCACAGCTCCCATACAATCACATTAATTTTTGAGACAATTTATTAAAAAACTTATAAAAAAAAGCTTCTATATAATCACACTCTTTTATAATCACCAATTTTCTTGATACAAACTGTGTGATTATAGAGGAGGAAGACTGTATTAGAATTAATTTTCTTTTTACAAAAAAGAAGTATAAACACAAATTCAAAGAGTAAAACAAAAATAAAGAAATATTTTGACATCAAATTCTGGTTTATCTAAACAAATAAAATCAACAAAACAAATAATGAAAAAAAATAAAAGAAAAGAAAACAAAGATAATATTATTAAACCCATATCAGATTATAAAAATTTATATAGTATTATAATAGACTAAATTTTTTTTTTTTGTAGTCAAGGTTAGCCTCTTTAGTTCACTGTTTTTATTAGATACTAGGATCATGTGGTGCCTTTTTCAAGGGGCCCCAGACAAGTACATTCTGACGAGAGTACATTCTAGCCATACCTGCGCCTTTTGAGCATCTAATTAAGTATCTACCTATTGTATTACTAGGTTTTATACTAGATGTCATACCTATAACTCACTATTACTTGAGCTACTTAATTAAACCTTCTGATCTGAGTTTTCTATGCTAATCCATCTAACCTCACTCAGAACATGTGATACATTAGTCAGTCCAAGTTCCGAGATCATTACAAGTTCACTCACTGTTACTGATGAAAAAGAGTTAGCTTAATTCGAACAAGAATATCTAACCTCAAGAAAGCTTATACTGTTACTCCTGCAACTCCAATGAATAAAAACCCTTAGATTACTCAAAATCTCCAGATCCAGATGAGCATTATCTAGTAGAACTTGCTAAGAATGCAACTCTGCTATCATCTTTTCACTAATTGTCCTCATAACCAATGTCATCATTGTCATCAATATGGATATATCTCTGCTCACTGCTTTCACCAAGCACCAAAGAGAGATATTTGTAAAACCTGCTCTCAACCTAGACATCTTTATAGAAACTGTTCTCAAAATAGATATCACCAATGTGATCAATATGGTTATATTAGAATTAACTATCTTCTTGCTATTTACAAGTTGGATAACCAAAGATACAGATGTAGATGTTCCTCTGATAAAGTGAACAACTAATGGCAAACCTACTATTCTCAAAGAAAAATCTATCATTGTTGTTAATGTAAAGTACTCCAAAGACCTAAAGAACTTAGATTGCTCGATCAGAATCTAGTCTGTAGAGCATGCTGAACCGATTTTCATTATGAATTAGACTGAGATAACCCTTGAAGCATTGAATACTTCACCAATAGTAATAGTCAAGAAATGTTAACCAAATGTCGAGTTTGTAACGAAGAATTTATTAGATCTAGAATGTATAAACTAGACACAATTAAAGAAGATACCTGGTTTTGTAATCTGGAGCATTTGTATGCTTACAAAGCTGCCAAAGATGTTGAATGGAACTCTAACTACAACCTATAGACCTGAGTTAAATACTATACTAAGTCTACTAGAAATGCAGAACATGCTTATGATCTCAACTAAAGTCGAATCTAATGTCTAGCCCAGATCCAACTAGGAGAAAGCAACAAACAGCTTGCTAGTGCACTCGAACCTCTAGCAACTGATTGATCTAACTAGGACTACATAGAAGATGAAATAAATCTCATCATGAGAGCCTCTCATATTCAACTAACCTCAACCAAAGAAGATGAGTTACAAAAAATTCTTGCTGAATCTTTCGATATTAGCCACCCAGATTTTGATCAGCATCGAGCAATGCAAAATCTGCAAAAAAACTTCCAAGGAACTGTGGAATTCTGTAAGAATTGTCTTATAGCCAAAGCCAAAGCTAAACTTGTACAAAATGATCAGTATTGTTAAGAATGTTATAATGAACTTCATCCTTCTCCTGTATAAGAACTAAAATCAGAAAAACCAACTCCAAAACCAACTTCATCTATTACTAGTGATGATATACAGGAAATAATTTGTTTGTTACAACAACAAGTCAAACAACAAGAACAAATAATTGATATTTTTCAAGGAAAGATCCAGACCTTAAAACAATAATCTCAACTCATTACTACTCTTTAGAGTAGAATTGACCATCTAGAAGCTTTTCATCATAAATTGTAAGGATTATACTTAGAGTTTTCTCTCTCTGAAAATAGACCTTTAAATTTTTAAATAATCCTAAGCAAGATGAAAAACTACTTGGTGATACAGATGAATTATCAACAGAAACAGACACCCTCAATCTAGCTATACAACAAAATTTATTGAAACGTGAAGCATACACAATAATCCAAAAAGTGACCCCAAAGATAGGACCTTTAACCCCAAGTTAAGGAGCTTAATTTTGCTAATTGCTTCTTGAATTTCCTGACCTCTTCGCAAAGGATATTACTCAACTATGAAGAACCAATCTAGTTACACATTGCATCTATATCGAAGATGTACCTCTTATTAGTTTTTGACCCCTCAAGCTGAATAAAAATTTATTAATGAAAAAAAAAGTACAACGAATGTTGGATAATAAATTGATATGAGAATCCTCAAGTCTCTGAGCCTCCCCTGTCGTATTCGTAGCCAAGAAAAATGGCAAGAAAAGATTTTGTGTAGACTATAGAAAATTAAATGCTATTACTAAAAAGGACCAATACCTATTATTTGAATAGATAAAATGTTAGATTTATTAGCTGGAGCCACATATTTTTCTACTTTAGATCTTATGAGTGGATATTGGCAAGTTATGGTACACCCTGCAGATAGAGAAAAGACTGCTTTTATTATAA